TTACTCGATAATTCTAGATCTCGATGATAAATTGAATATCACTAAGTCAAATGAATATAGAGAGCCTTAAGATCGGGTGTATGAGACAACGATGCTGGTTTGCGATTCTCCATAGTAAAACTCATCCCTTAATCAAAGAAGATCGATCTTATCAAACTTAAAACATATGATATTATACAAACCAGCTTTCAACGGTGGACCATAGTTGAAACAGAAAAAGTGCAAGAAATAATAGAGAAATGATTTTTTCTTCAAAAAATATCAAAAATATTAACCAAGAAAATCTGTTAATTATGAGTTAATATATTAATTCATGTGTCGAAACATAACATATGGAGCACTAAAAGAGGCAAAATTCTACAAACGCTTGACGAGTATCGTTGAGTACCACTAAGGATGAGTATCGTTGAACACCGTTAATTTAATTTGTAAAAAATTAAAATTATAAAAGGACTCAACTTATGATTATAAATTAGTTAAAAATTTAAAGGTAAATTACTTAAATTAAAATATTAATTACATTATTTTTCATAATCCTTTTTTAAAAAAATTTTAAATAATTTTTAAAAGTAAATTATAATTTTTTATTGTTAAAATTTTATGGAAAATAATATAATAAATATTTTATTTTAAATAATTTACCTTTAAACTTTTAACTAATTTACAATTATATGTTGAATTTTTTAAAATTTTAAATTTTTATTAATGATGTTCAGCGTTGCTCATCGTTAGTGATACTCAACGGTGCTCATCGTTAATGATACTTTAACAGTGCTTATCGAAGGTGGAAAACTCTTCCCTAAAAGAGACACTAAGGAGGCAGTGGAATTATGTTCAGTAGGGATGTGTGTACTAATAATGTTTAGGGTAAATTATACGGGTGATAATTCAACTATTATCATATTTCATTTTGATTATTGATGTTTCGATTTCATTAATTAGACCATCTAATTATTTGAATATTTCAATCAAGTTATTAGTCATTAACTATTAACATAGATGTTGACATGACAATTAATGAAGTTAGCATAATTTTGTAATTGTCCTCAGTACTTTCATATTATATTAATTTAGTCCTAATTTTAATTTAATTTTAAAAAATTAACCCTCCAATCCGGAGGTGTCAAGTGTAAATATATTATTGTGACACATTTACAAGTGACATGTGTACCTTATTAGAGTGTTAATTTTTTAAATTAAACTAAATTAAAATTAGGATTAAATTGATAAAATATGTAAGTATTGAGGACCATATATATAATTATGTCAATTTTTTTAACTACCACATCACCATCTCCGTTAAAAATTAACGATCAATGGCTTGATTGAAGCATTTAAATAGTTAGTGATTTGATTGATAAAATTGAAACATTAATGATCAACATGGAAGAATGTAATAGTTGAGTGATTTACCCTAATGTTTATCATGCGCCTAAGATAAGGGTAAATCTGAAAGAAAAGTAAAATGGGAAAATGAGCCTAGGATATGTGTAGTATAAGTACACGTGCTTGACATGGCATACTTACTGTAATAATTTTGAAATTAAGGTGCACAGTAATAATGATTCTTTTACCAAATAAGGACTTAACTTGAAAGTTGTCTTAGTGAATCTCTCTGTTTAAAATTTTATTATTTAATTTTCAAATTATGTAAAGATTAGCCTAAAATTTGACTTTACCGATTCCATTTTAACCTTTTGATGTCAACTGGGTCCCATTACACGTTTTGGTTCATCCCCTCTATCCGATTCCTTTCACTCACGTATGTGTCCTTTTCCTTGTTTACTCGTTTTTTAATGTTTGGTTGATCGATGTTTCTAAAACTATTTTTTTTAAAGAAACAATTAATTTTATTTAAAATAAAAATATCTTAAATTATAATAAAAATTTACAATCATAATTATAAATTAAACATATAATTAAAAAAATTTCTTATAATCGTTGAAATAAAACTATCAACTTTTTTTTTTATTAAGCTAAAATGATTACAAAGTAATATATGTTCTAAATACTCTCAACCATTTGGCAATGAACGCTTAATCACCATGATGTAGCCACTATCTGCTTTAGCCACTGGTGCTCGATCCCGTGACCTATAGAAACAATAACGATTCCTTTAACCACTGAGATAAGTTGGTTCGTACATAAAACTAGTAACTTAAGATCACATAAGGACCATACAAAGAAAGATTAAATCTAACCAAAAAACTCAAACAAATATAGATACAAACAGATCCGACTGCATCGACAAAATAACCACAAAAAGGGATCGAACTATTGAAAGACTACCGACAAACCACAAATCGAACTCGAGCGTCGTGAAAAAGCTATCCAAGATTGCAAACCAGGTATCCAATTCCAATCCGATGGTCCAAAGGAGGGAAGATCACAAGATATCAGATAATCGCCATCTTGATCGATCATGGCGATATCAAATCAACATTTAGAAGAAAAAAATAAATGAAAATACGACCAAAGAATCGAAAAGCATTATCAAAAACATAAGAAAACGTGTCTTAAAGACAGATGAAAACGTGAAAATGAAAAAAAAAATAAAGATACGATATAAAAAAGAAAAAGACAATAAAGAATACCGACAGTCGACAACCAACATTAAAGTTGGTGTCGTCGCAGATCAACAAAGATAAAAAAGAAAAAAGATAGCACCACACTAATAAAAGAAAACTAATTTTTTTAGAGAAAACTACGGTTATGTGTGTTGTTCGATGTCTAAAATTTAATTAAGATTAATTAAAACCATTATATTATTAAAAAACTATATTATGTTTGGTGTATAATTTTACTTGATTTTAAAATTAATTTTTATACGGTAATAGTTGATGTTTAACGAGTGATAATTGTTTACAATTGTTTAAATAATAATAAAAAATGATGCGATTAAATCAGAGATTCGTAGTACACTCATTCTATTTTGAACAAAAAGCAACCGGTTAAACATGTTATAGTGGTATGAGATAAAATAGGTACGCTCTTCTTTTCTACTTTGTCCTTAAGAATCTCAAGAGATGTTTTGTTATATTTATCGAGTATTTGATAGAATGATAGTCGCGTGGTTGTCCTGTAATCGGATTGATATAGAATTATGAATATTAGGTTTAAATCATTACAAGTCTAGTATATTTATTCTGCACTATAATATGCATGTCTATATGAGTTATTCGTTATTAGGGTTTATGAGTGACTTTGAGGTAGAATCTCTTCGGAGTGACAGACTTTGATCATGTGAGTGTTATATAACGATGAATTCGGAATACAGTGTGAGTTATTTAAAAGTGTTTTTACTTACTGAGTCTATCCTTTTTTCTATAGAAACGATCGACTTTTTTGGTCCTTAGGCTTTCTTATACGTAATATGCTTAACCAAAGGGGAGTCAACACCTACATCTATACATCTTGCTCTTATTTTATGAGATCTCAGTGAAAGAATACCATGATACATGAGAACATATTATCATTCAGAAAATGATCTCAATCCAATGACCTCAATCTTTTCCTATGTTCTAAGAACAATTTACTAGATATTCTATATCATTTTTCTTCATGCAATGGTTCTCTTTCCTTATTAATTTAGATGGGGGATCGTATATCATTTTTATCATTTACGAACAATTTCGTTAAGCATTCAAAATCAATATTCTTACGAGTCAGTTCTATTCTTTTTTAAACGAAGAAAGAGACCATATTCATACAATGATCCTTTTAACATGATGCATTCCATATTTTAAAATTGATTAATTTTCATTATGATACTTTGGGTTATTTCTCTTCACACAACATGATGGTTCCTACTCTATCATCTCAATTGGACAACCATACATCATTCTTATCTTACTAACTATGTGAGGCATCCAAGTTAGGGACAACTCCATTGAGCATGCAGAGGCATCCCCAAGATCACCTTAGAAACGGTTCATCCTTTTCAGTTTAGACTGAGAATTATAAATTTATATAACCGACTAGCATCACAGTAGAAAAATCTCACCTAAAAACATCTTTTATAACTTGTAAAGGCATTTATAATCATCCCCTATAAAGTTGTATATGGATTCATAATCATCTCATGTACTATTACAAAGGGATCATAAAGAATTAACATAATTCGCTTACCCTGTGGGTTAGGGGCTTCAGTCAAATAGCTTCTCATGTTGTAAAAACATAGAAATCTCATTTAGAGGCATCCACAGGTGTCCTCGACACTAATCTAGTAATGAAGTATATGTGGGTATCTTAGTGACTCAAACGAGGATTAAGACCACAAGATTAAGATCCTCGACCATATGATCGATTATATTATGATGGTATGAAACGAAATGATCTCTCTCGTTTCTTTCTTTGTCCCCAAGAATCTCATGAATGTTTTATTATATATCTCGGGCATTTGATAGCCACATAATTATCTTATAATAATGTTGGATATAGAATTGTACAGATTGAGTTTAAATCATTACAAGTCTAATATATTATTTACTCCGCAATCCTATATGTAAATTCATTTGACCAACAAGTTATTTTCTTTTATTGAATTTCACAAGTGATTTTGACTTTTGAGATAGAACTTCCTTAAAGTGATAGAATGTGGCACTTAATATAATAATAGCTTCTTAAATTTATTTATAATTTTTATTTTATTATTAATATATTAAATAATTATCATATATATATATATATATATATATATTATAAACTGTATTTATAAACATTGGTCAAGAATTGCTTAAAAGATTAATTTGTTATTTTCATTGAATTTCAATAAAAAAATAATTAAGTGACCACCTTATTCATTAATATTGTATATTTACACATAATATTGTTTTCTTTGAGTTTGAATTTTATTTTCGTTGAGCACATGATAAATATAACTAAAGAAAATGTAGTGTACCCAAAATTTTAATTAACAAGTAAAACCACATCGATTTTTCTTATTTTCTAAGCAAGAAGCAATTAATATGAAATTATAGCAATATTATATATTATTTTGCTGAAATTGGATTGGCCCATTGTTTTAGAAAACAAGAATCCCACAGCCCATTAATTAATTGCTAGGAATATATACATTGGTCGACGTTTACGTGCTCTCTAAGAGAAGTCAGTACCTAACATTCTCAAAACATGAGCCTAGGGTTAGCCCTATTATCATTGGAAGAGGCTGATGTTCTAGAGCCACGAACCTGTGAGGAAACACCCTCCGCCACTGCACCGCCACCTTCCATGATCGCCCGTGGGTTGCCGCCGCCTACTCTTTGAAAGTAAACCTCCCCTGTTCCCGGATTGTTATCGTTTCTGTTCAATGAAAACATCAACGGCTGGTTTTGGTGGTGATGGAGTAATTGATTTTGTTGATATTGCAAGTGAAAACCGGTGGGAGGAAGCATCGGGGAGTTATTAGGGTTAACTTGGAACCCGAACCCGAAATTCGGCCCAGCGGAGTGAGAACCTCCCGCCTCGAAAGGAGCAGTGGGCGCGCCAGTGAATTGTTGAACCATGGCTCGGAAATTGGTGGTATCCGTATTGAACAAGGTAGTCGGGGTTCGCCTTGAAGCCCTTGATCGTCTTCGGGCTGGCTTCCCGACGCGGCCATCGGGGCTCAAATGACCACCCCCACCTAGTCCGGAGCTCACCTGAGTGGAGCTCGTGGTGACCGTGGAAGTGTTGACGACGGCAGAAGTATCGGAACCTTGTTCGCCGAACACCAATTCCGATGTCAGAACGCGAAAGCGATTCGGTATCTCCTGATCGGAAAGATTTTGATCGTAAAACTGTGGCCAATCAGACATGGTTTCACTCATGTCCAGAGAGCAAAATCAGCTAAAACTGTCAAAGAATTAATTGTTTTCCCCCCTCTGTTCTCTTTCTGTAAGAAGGGAAGAAGAGAGATTAAGATAAGGTATTTATGGTGGCTTTCAAGGTGGTCAAAGGAAGAATATTGGGAAAATCATGGCCGTTGATTTCTGGTAAAAGATTTACGTCACGTGACATGACACATGAGAGATGTGGCGGAAAAAGGAGAGAGATGTTTGGCGGAAATGGTGGGGGTTCTGGAAGTCGGGGGTATAGTTTCGTCGAAGCAGCAAATCACTTATCACCATGACGCCATCTGAATAGTGAACAAGTCGCTCCACTGTTTTATTTGGCCAAACCTCTGTTTCAGTCCCTCTATTATATTTAAATTTCATATATAATCTTTATAACATGTCATACTTTTATAATTTCAATATAATCAACATTCTTAACTATTTCTGTTAAAATAATTGCTTGGCCTGTTTAAGAAATTCATTTTTCAGTACAATCATCACTATTTTATTTTATTACTTAATTAATTTATTATATATATATATATATATATATATATATATATATATCAATTATGAGTGTAATTCTCTTAACTTGTTTTATTTATAGATAAAAAGAAATATTATTCTTTCTAAAGAATTCAAGTTTAAATAGTTGAACATGTAAGATATATGTCTTCTTTGTAATCACTTAGACTGTTAAAAGAAAATTTGATTCATTCATAATATTTTGATTTGAACCTATCAAGCGATTTCAGTAATAAAAGAAAATATAATTCTCTTTAGATGTCTCGAGTATAATAAATAATTAAAACCCAAATATAATAAAAATGCAATATCTCATCTCGTTATACTAAAAAAATAATTGATCAAAATATTATTCTAACCCATTATACTAACATAAATCTTTATTAAAGTTGTCAATTGAATTAATATATTGACTAATTAATAAATTAATTACGTATATGATAACATAATAAATTAAATTAGATCAAATTACTACATAAAATTTAAATATTAAACTTGAAAATAATAAAGATACGAAAGTAATTATTTGGCATTTTATTATGTGGCTTTGGTGGACATTGATTGATTACTTTTGCTTTGTTGGTCGGAATGTATCAAGTATGGAATAACTAATATATAATTAAGGAAAAGTTTTACCGGAAATGTTAATGTTTTTTTAAATATTTTTGATAAAACGTTATTTAAAACATTATTTTTTTACCGAAAATATTAATATTGGATGCTATCTAAAATATTATTTTTTTTATCGATTTCTCTACAGGAAATTAGATAGCGAAATTAATATTTCCAGTAGAAAAAAATAATATTTTAGGTATTACTTTACCGGTAATATTAAAAAAATATTAATATTTTCGGTAATATTCTTTCTTTATCCGTATATTAAGCTGACCTACGACATAACTACCCTTTATTCGTCGGACTCCAAACATGTATTAAAACTTTCAGCTATGTGGAAATGGGAAACATCCTACTTCCCTCCCTTTATCTCTCTACTAAGGCTTTTTTGCCCTTAGAAAATTCAAATATTTTTTTACAATTAAACATTTTTTTTATTATGGTAATGTGTAGACACTCATTTTCGTCCACGTGGCATTTTCATGATTTATGTGTTGTTTATAATATACGTTGTATGTGTATTATACATAATATACATATATTATATATTATAATTAGATAACATATATTACCACTAATTTATTTTTCATTTTGCAGGCCTGAATATTCAGCCCGAAACCATTACAAAACATATGGCCCAGTAGCAGTGACCCAAGTAGCCCAGCTACCCAGCATCATCAACCCACGTGTCCCGCTGGAGCCCCATGACCCGATGAAACTTAGGGCCGACTTGGGAACCCAAGCCTCACATCACAGCAATGCGTCCCTCGCCCCAGGTCAAACCGCTGATTCTCACGCAACAACCACGACGAACGTGGAGCCTCTCCAACAAACGTGCAAACAACAAACAAACACGATATTAGTGTCCTACTCGGGATTAAACTCTAAAAATAGCCAATAGTTTTGGCTATAAAATCATGTAATCCCCACTGTTTTGAGGGACGGTGGATCGAGGCTATTACATAGGAATCCACAAGAAAAACACTACGAAATACAGAGAAGAAACGAGGGAAATCATATGAAAAACAGAGAGATTCGATTTAAAAAAAAAGGAGTTAGAGAAGAATTACATATTCGAAGGAAACCCGAGGCCGAAGAGAGCCTTCATCGCTCAGTTTCCCGTGTACCCGGTATCCGTTAAAGAACCCAGGTTGAGTGCTTGGGCTTAGGGGGGTCGTCTAAGGTGGTCTGGCGATGCTTCTGTGCTCTTTGGTTCCTTATTCAAAGAGAATTCCAAGAGAGATAATTTTATTCTTTATGTTAAGCAACAACAAAATGAAATGAGTTTCTCAACTCTTAGTTTTGGGTTATGAAAAAGCTTGGGAAAGATATAATTTAGTGGGAGGGGACCCACATACTTTTGTTCTCTTATGTGTCCACTTGGACTTTTTCATAGAATACACATTAAAAGCTTTTGATTCTTGGTTAATTGGCTGTGGAAATGGTGGATTGATTAGTTACTTTGTTTTTTATGTCATATATTGGTAAAGTAAAATTATTAATTAAATTGGGTTCAGTTTGGACGTGTTATGGTGTTGTGAATTTCCTTTAATATCTTAATTTGGTTGTTATTTTTAAATTTTTTATTTTAATCATTATTTTATATTTGGTTTAATTATTATTTCAATCTTTTCAATATTTGATTTTTTATGTTTTAGTACTTTAATTTTTTTTGTTTTTGATATTTTAGTCATTTAACCTTTTGTTTTTTTATTTTGATCCTTTAAAATTTTATTTATTTATTTAATTTTAATATTTTCCTTATTTATTTTAACATTGTTTTTTATATATTTTTTAGACTTTTTTTAGACTTTTATTTTTTTGAGACTGAATATTTTTCTTCATTTTTTACTTTTATTTTTTTTCTTAACATTTTTATTGTTATTTTATCAATTTATTTATTTATTTATTCTATTTGATTTATTTAATATTTATTTTTCAATATAACCTTGTTTTTGACCCTTTTTAGGGGTAATTTCAATCAATCAAAGGTAATTGATTCGAATTGATTTTTTAGATTTTAATTTAAATTTCGAATTTTCGCAACTAAGACAACCGGCAAATTATTTGGTACCGAAAGGGCGGTTCAAGGGTGTTAATCCTTCATTGATCGTAACCGACTCCCGAACCCGACACGTTTCTGGTACAACGTAGATCAGGTAAGATGGTGTCCGACACACCTAAATTCATTTTAAAGTGGTCGGTGGCGACTCCCAACTCAATTATTTCAAGTCGAAGCCCAATTCGAGGCCCAACCGAAAGACGGCCGCGACAGCTTGGCGACTCTGCTGGGGATATGTAAGTGAGTCAGACCAAAATTAATTTTCGATTGTCTTTTTGAGCGAAAATTGCAAATTTTAATTTTAATTTATTTATTCGATTCCAATTATTTATCTTTGATTATTTTTTTCAAGTAAATAGTTGTACTGACGTTTTTTCAATGATTTCAGATCTTTAACTTTTTTCATATAAGACTCTATACCCAAGCTCTGAACCCTTTTTAACTGGGGGTGAAAGTGACGCCTTCGTGTGAATTTATTCACCGCACAAGCCTAGCAAGTAGCCTTCGGGATTCATATACCTTATGTCTTCGTGTTAATTTATTCACCGCATAGGCATAAGGGAATGTATCCTCTCGAGTTTAACTTAGTCCACACAAGCTTGTAATGGGCTTAGGACTAAGGGCCTGACAAGCCCAAGGGGGCACCAGCAAAGAGAACTCGGGTACCTTTTTTTTAGAACCTAAACCGAGAGAGTACGTGGAATTAGAGCCTACCCTAAAACCTTATTTCCAAACCCTAGGTTGCTTTGATATTATTTCATGCTTTATTTCATATTCAAAGCATGTGAAATAGAAATTTATGCGGTTATGACTTGTTCAAAATCAACTTGCGGGATAGAGATCATGTCCGAGTAGGAATCATGAGCATGTGGGGTATATATCATGAGGGGTATATATCATGCGGGGTAGGACTTTTATTTTCATGACTGATTTAATTATTTTTGTCTCACTAACTCTTTTCATTTTTGTTATTTTTTAATTTATTTTCATCATTTGCATCATTCAAAAGAGGTGTTGATCCACCAAAAACGTATTTGTTAGAAATAAATAATTTGCATTAATGGACAAAGGGGTTGTAATACAAGAGATGGAAATGCAGAGGACAGTCTACAAGGCGATTATGTGTCACATTCAATCCAGAAGACGTAGTGCCAACAATTGAAGAGTATATTACTCTGCTGCATTATAAAGGACTCAGAATGAACCGGGTTAACATCAAGCACAATAAAATTCTATCTTGGAAGAACTGACTGGCAAAGGTTGCATGGGCAAGATGAAGGTTACTGATCTTGGGGGTCCCTTCAAATACAATAATGGCAAAACGATAGCTAAAATTGGAGACCATTGCTGACGAATTCAAGAAACATACAAATGAATTTCACATAGTTCTTATCTATTGAGGGCTCCAATGACGTATTCGTTGAGAACATGTTCAACAGAAGATAAATTCCAGAGATGCAATCATTAAAGACTTCTTGGACTAGTACAAAAAGCAACTCAACATTTGCACAGTTCATCTAGAGAAGCCGGAGCGGTTCAACAAGTTATTCAACCGGTGACAGACGAAGGAAGAAGAGTAGTCAACATGTCAGAAGCTGTCAGGATATTTTTATCTCTTAAAAGATAAAACATTTTTGTCCCCAATAAGGATTATTTATAATAACATACATGTTTTCGGATCAATGCCTCGAGCATTTCATGCATTTTTGCATCTACATTTCATTTTTAAGCATTTTCATAAACATGAAATTTCTTCATGGTTTCATGGAGGATTCGATGAAGTAGTCATAATCACGTGAAACCACATAGAAGCAAGATTTTAACAATTAAAAAAATTGAAATCAATACAGTGGAAGCTTGATTAACTGATTGTAGGAAAAAGCCTGTCATGATGATCTGAAAACAGAATCCCCATATCCTAAGGGCTACGATGTTGAAGCTGTATGCAGTTACCACATAGGAAGCTTCAGATACTCCTCAAAGAACTATAAGGCACCGAAGCACAAGATCCAAAACCTAATGGATTCAGGGGCATTGACAGCCGAAAAGGGGACATTGCATATACCATTTTCACTTAGAGCATTGTTTTGTTTGAACACGTCTTTGATCTTTCATGTTTGCTTAATCTTTTAAACGATTGAATTTATGCTACTTTCTAAGGTGGAGCAATTGAACAAATTTTAATCTTTAGTTCTTCGAATATTAAATGAATTAAAGATTCTTTTAATTCTTCAAAAATTATAGATTTTTGACATATGAAAAGATTAGACCTTTCTTATCCTGTCTCAAACCCCAAAATAAAATACCTTGATTATTTACCCAAAATAACTCGTGGTCATTACCAAAAAGACCAAATTTTGGCATTACCTCCCTTTTGAAATTTTTTAACAATGCATTTATCTTTTTGATACACCCATACCTTTCTTTTAGTCAATAAAATCACACCATTGTCTTTTTAGACTCAAAATTAACATTTTTATACAATTAAAACCCAAGGCATTGAGTTGTTCATTTGAACATGAGCATTCTTCTAAGACACAACTTGGGGCATCTCGTAGGGAGCTTGAACATTGAGACATGTTGGGGGCAAGAAGCAGAAAGAAGAATTCACTCGAAATAATTCTATCATGCATTAATTACATTGTTTTCATGTGAATAAAATTAATCCTGAAAATTTATCCCCCTGGGGATACCTCTTCTGTGAAAGCTTCCATGTATGAAATAATGAACGGCTTTCTTTCTTTACCCCTTCACAATAGGAGAAAATATATATCCCTTGTGTCCCCTTTTGAGCCTATAGTATTTTTCTTCTGATTCAACCCTAACCAAGGATCACCCTCCACATTGGGGGGCAAGGTAGAGAAAATATGCTCGCATGAGTGAACACATTGATTCAGATGAGATATCGAAATGTGAACCAAATGCCAAGTGCGAAGATTCAATCAGAACAAAAAGAGAAAAAAAAGAGAAAAAAAGAGAGAGAAAAAATAGAGAAAAAATAAAGGAAAATTGAAGAAAAAAGAAGACAAGATGCATTTGCAAAGATTCTCTCTATTCAAACACGCATCGAGATTCAAACTATGAGATTGGCCAAGCACAATCATTTTCGAATCACTAAACCACTTCACTCGAAGATCATAGAGCATCAAATGAGATTGATCAAGCACAATCATTTCTGAATCATTGAATCACTCCACTCGAAGATCATAGAGCATCAAGAGAGAGACACATACGAGCAAATTCAAATTGAGCAAGATATGGTTAAAGACATCAGAATGAATTGATCATTGGTTCAATCGCCCTTAAACACTTGTTTGGGCCTATTTATCCCTTTATTTCATAACCATAAAACCATGACCTACGTTACGTGCCTTAAAAGTCCATTCTAATCATACATGGATTTCTAAACAGAAGAGATTATCTTTAGATTTCATCCCGCCCATCAGGATTAATCTTTATTTGCAAAAAACAGTGTAATTAATGTATGATAGAGAAAAATAACAAAGGGGGGTTTAAGATGTAAATTACGAATGACGTCTTGAAACCAAAGGAGGATTCGAGTTGAAAACCTAAAAAGGCGGCTCGAATACAAAAATTGGGCAGTTGAGGCGATCGCACAAATTCCTTGATAAGGCATCGCACAATCCGAGCGTGAGCATAAAAGTTGAGAATCAGAGAACACTTCCAATAGAGGAGCATGCAAGCTACCCCATCAAACCTTTGAGCATCAAATAAACAAAAAATGCCAAACCTTTGACCAAACACAATAACCTGAGACTTTTTTATCCTTTCCTTACTTAACCATTTCCCAAAAATAGATTTGATATTGGCATGTGTCAAATAGCTATAACTTATTGAAGGATTAACAATATAATTAATTATTTGATATCCAATGAACTCTAGTTTTATGATTTGTCTCAATTGTAAAACTGTGAAAGGGGCAATATTTTCAAAACTTTTGATTAAATATTTTTCGAAACTCTTTTTTGATATTTTTAGAACTTTGAAAATAAAAGAGAAAGAAAAACATTTTTTTCAAAACAAGACAATCTCTCTAGTGTGGATCTTGGTAAATGACATGTGGCTCTCAAACACAAAGCTCATACTTAGAATCAATGCTGAAATAAGAAATGAGGAACAATAAGGGCATCTTTAAAGATTTAACATCAAATGTTGGGGCATATTTTTAGATTTAACATCAAATGTTGAGGAATTTCTTGAGATTCAACATCGAATATTGGGGCATCTTTGGGAATTCAATATCCTGATGTGAATTATCAGATCTTCCGAAGGTCTTTCCTCCACGTGCAGGAACCAACAGACAAAAAATGAGATTCCGTCAGATGAATAAAACAAGAACTAATTCATTATGCATGCATTTTAGAGCATCATTTTTTTCACATACATAATTTTTGCAGCTTTAGAGTCAAGTTTCAACTTCAAGATGAAAGATACTCGATTCAAAGAACATTTAGAAATTGATGGAGGTTGCTCAACTTCACAGCGAAGGGGCAACTGTCTGTCGACAAATAACTTTCTAATTTCATTCAGAGTCAATTTCAACTTCACAGCAAAGGATATTGGACTCAAAGCAATACAATTTGCTCGAGAGTAGATTTCAACTTCACGACGAAGGATATCTAGCTCAAAGCTAAACTTCACAATAAAGGGGTCATCTACGGTTTCAACCTCACGGCGAAGGGAATTGTGTCCACCCGCAATATACAATACTTGGATTTCAACTTCACGACGAAGGATATCCAAGTCAAGGCTCAACTTCACGACGAAGGGGTCATCCGCGATTTCAACTCCACGACGGAGGATATCGTACCCACACATCCACGATTTCAACTCCACGGCGGAGGATATCATGCCATTTTGAGGCTCAACTTCACGAAGAATGGGCTTCCCAGTTTTAGAGCCAATTTCAACTTTACAGCGAAGGATATTGGACTCGAGACAACACAAGTTCAACTTCACAGCGAAGGATATTGGACTCGGAACAATACAACTTACTTGGATTTCAACTTCACGACGAAGGATATCCAATTTATGGCTCAACTTCACGGTGAAGGGGCCACCCACGGTTTCAACTTCACAAACAATTTCCCAGTTCCAGAGTCAATTTCAACTTCACGGCGGAGGATATTGGACTCGGAACAATACAACTTACTTGGATTTCAACTTCACGACGAAGGATATCCAATTTCTAGCTCAACTTCACGGTGAAGGGGCCACCCACAGTTTCAACTTCACGACGAAGGGAATCGTAAACACAAGCAACATCTATCTCCAGATTGGATTTCAACTTCACGACGGAAGATATCCAACACAGAGAAGGAGTGTATGTCAACAAACTTTCCAATTTCGAAGTCAATTTCAATTCACAGCGAAGGATATTGGCCTCGAAACAGCATACTGGATTTTAACTTCACGACGAAGGATATCCAATTACAAGGCTCAACTTCACAACAAAGTGGTCATCCACAATTTCAACTTCACGATGAAGAGAATCGTGCTCACCATTGTCTCTCTTGAGGCAGTTTCCAAGTTTTGTCTCTCTTGAGACAGTTTCCCTTAAAACAAAATCTTTGAATATCTTTTCCTTGAAACAAATTTCATCTCCCTTGAGACAGTTTCTTTTAGAACTAAGTTTTGTCTCTCTTGAGACAGTTTATTTTGAAACAAATTTTGTCCCTCTTGAGACAATTTCTCTTGAAATACAAAAAAAAAACCCTCGAAATTATTTCTCTTGAAAAAAAAACTTTGAAAATGTTTCTCTTGAAACACAAAGCCTTCAAGTTCGATTACACTAAGCTTCGAGGGCACATCATTTGCAGCATAACTCAAGGCTAGGAGGGTTATCTGTCAACAAAGACCTTCGAGTTCGACTACGCTCAGCTCCAAAGCACATCATTTGCAGCATAACTCAAGGCAAGAAGGGTTATCAGTCATCAAAGACCTTCAAGTTCGATTATATTCAACTCAGAGGCAAATAAAATTTACAGCATAGCTCAAGGCAAGAAGTGCTATATGCCAACAAAATTGTCGAGTTCGATTCCATTCAGCTCGATGACAAATCAATCACACTACTTTCCGGTTGCAGTCGAAGTTTTCAAGTCGAGAAGAAAATCTGGGTTAGTCGTGCCTTAGTGACAAGCAACCATTTTCAAACAACATAGCTTAAGTCAAGAAAAGCTATCTGTCAACGAAGATTTCTGAGTTCGATTTCGATCCAAGAAGAAGACTGAAGGGCAAGGAAAAGTTGCATCCCGATTCAAATCTCGAACTGCGGCTGCAATTCTATATCATTTCAAGATGGAATCGACTTCGCGACGGAGGGGCCATCCACAACTTAATTCGACAGGGAATTATTCCTTCAGAGTCAATTTTTCAATTCCACCGAACGAAAATATGTCTTTTTATCTTTGTCCTATTTTTCGTTCCACGAAAAAGGATAAAGAGGGGCAGCTGTAGATACTCATTTTCGTCCACACGTGGCATTTTCATGATTTATGTGTTATTTATAATATATGTTGTATGTGTATTATACATAATATACACATATTATATATTATAATTAGATAACATATATTACCACTAATTTATTTTTCATTTTGCAGGCCTGAATATTCAGCCCGAAACCATTACAAAACATATGGCCCAGCAGCAGTGACCCAAGTAGCCCAACTACCCAGCAGCATCAACCCACGTGTCCCGCTGGAGCCCCACGATCCGATGAAACTTAGGGCCGGCTTGGGAACCTTAGCCTCACATCACAGCACCGCGTCCCTCGCCCCAGGTCAAATCACCGATTCTCACGCAACAACCGCGACGAACGTGGAGCCTCTCCAACAAACGTGCAAACAACAAACAAACACGATATTAGTGTCCTACTCGGGATTAAACTCTAAAAATAGCCAATAGTTTTGACTATAAAATCATGTAATCCCCACTGTTTTGAGGGACGGTGGATAGAGGCTATTACATAGGAATCCACAAGAAAAACACTACGAAATACAGATAAGAAACGAGGGAAATCATACGAAGAACAGAGAGATTGGATTTAAAAAAAAAGGAAATTAGAGAAGAATTACCTATTCGAAGGAAACCCGAGGCCAAGGAGAGCCTTCATCGCTCAGTTTCTCGTGTATCCGGTCTCCGTTAAAGAACCCATGTTGAGTGCTTGGGCTTAGGGGGGTCGTCTAAGGTGGTCCGACGAAGCTTCTGTGCTCTCTGGTTCCTTATTCAAAGAGAATTCCAAGAGAGGTAATTTTATTCTTTATGTTAAGCAACGACAGAATGAAATGGGTTTCTCAACTCTTAATTTTAGGTTATGAAAAAGCTTGGGAATGATATAATTTAGTGAGAGGGGACCCATATACTTTTGTTCTCTTATGTGTCCACTTGGACTTTGCCATGGAATACACGTTAAAAGCTTTTGATTCTTGGTTAATTGGATGTGGAAATGGTAGATTGATTAGTTACTTTGTTTTTTTATGCCATATATTGATAAAGTAAAATTATTAATTAAATTGGGTTCAGTTTGGACATGTTCTGGTGTTGTGAATTTCCTTTGATATCTTAATTTGGTCATGTTATTTTTAAGTTTTTTATTTTAATCATTATTTTATATTTGGTTTAATTATTATTTCAATATTTTAAATATTTGATTTTTTCTGTTTTAGTACTTTAATTTTTTT